ATTTAGAGGCAGCTTTCAGGCCTGGCCTCCATTGAGCTACATGCACTTTAGACTCCCCAGACGCTGACTCACATCTGTCCTGAGTGCCTTTGTCCTGTCCCCAGAATCTCTGCTCTGGAGCTCTGTGCTCCACCTGCCCCCCAGGACTAGAGACCCTTTTTCTGCAAGGAAACCAGTGCTGTTGCATGGGATTCATCCTGCAGAACTAGCTGTGCAGAGGGAATCCTGCCATCTTTCCTGAGGTGTGCTATCAAGAACAAAAGCACTAAATAGAAATTTTACTTTATGTCCCTGCTCCTGCCTGAATAAGGAATGAATAAAGACATACCCTGCTGTGTTAGGGGAGTTTCTTTTACTCTTTGGCCCTTTTCTCCACAGCCCAGCCGCTTTCAGTGCTGGGTGCCTCTGTCTTTTCTCTGGTGCAGTGGTCTTTGAGAGTGAAGTTTGCAGAAGTTCCCTCCAGCATCAGCCCATGTAAAGTTGTGTGGAGCACAGCAAATGGTGCCTAGCACTTCTGGAATTTGGGAGGAGGAGGGTGTTGCAGCTATACTTTTACACTGGTTCCCTCTTTAATGTTTGATTGTATTCTTTCATTCCCCCACCATGTTTATCCACCTGCCTGTGTTGGATGAGCAGCTCTGCAAAATTCAAGGAGAGAAAACAAAGTAATCGTTTCGTTTCTCTCACTTGCCTAACCTTCCTGTGTGTGCTTACTTTGTGTTCCAGCTGCTTCTGCAAGTCTAATATGCTTCTATTTCTAAACCTGGGTTCTCCTTCCTGGTGCCCTGGGCTAAGGGGTTTGGAGTGTTCATCTGTGGCCTCCCATAGCAGAACAGCCTGTAACAGCAGGGCTTCATCCCCATCCTCCCAGGTCTGGACCACAAGCCTACGCATGGTGGTGCAAGGTCTCCTAGCTCAGTCTGCAGCCTCATTTGTGATGATTTCCCAATAATGGGAAGAGATGATGAAAGCAAAGAAAGATGCACAGATGAGGAGAGATATCTCAGGGCTGCCAGGGCAGCTGTTTGAGATCTTTGAATCAGATGGAGACAGAACTCCACCACCCTCAGCTTCCCCACCCTCAAACAAGCCATCTCCCATGTGCAAAGCAAAACCAGCCCCACCCCAGCTGTGCCATTTTAGCTAATGGCTTAGTTAATAAATGGCAAATTCCAAGGGTAATCCTGTCAAAGCCTTCCTGACATCCCCATTGATAATATTAACCACAAAGTGCTCCCCTGCTCATCTGATTAATACCAGAAGAATTCTCCTTGATTAGATCATTACTGAGGGGAAATGTAGGAAAGACAAATATTCTAGGGAAAAATCAGACTTTAGGCAAGGGCGAAGGTTGCAAGGGTCCGTGGTTTGTAGAGTTTGTCACCTGGTGGAGAGGGGAAGGTTTGTGATAGTCTGCTCTCCTTAGTCATTACTACTTACTAGTCCTTAGATAGTCTCTTCTGCTCTCCCACAACTCTTGCAATAGAATGCACGTCCCAGCCCTTCTTTGCCTGCAACTCAATTCATGTCATGTGGATATGAGCAGCTATAAGCCAAGCAAGTGAAGATGGTTTTGAAGGGTTGGAGGCTTTGAATGTCAAGTCTTAAGGGCAGAGACCCATGTACTTGTTGCCTTGAAAAGTCTGGCAAGGTCAAATTAGTGCAGTTTGGGATCTTGGCACACCACTGACAGTGGAGGAAGGAGCAGTGGTTTCTGTCTGCACTCCACATTATTCCTTCCCTGGAAAGCCAGGATAGTAGTTTGGAGGCTAGGTGAGAAATACAGTATTTTGGGAAAGACAGTGAGCTGCCGCTGTCTTATCCTTTCCAGATCTGTGATTCTTAGTTATCTTATGTTGAGATAAGAGCTCATGCTTCTCAGGCTGCCTGCAGATTCAGGCAAGCATCACAAGATGCCTTACACATGGGCTTTTAAGTATCTCTCATCCTGCAGGCTTCTAGACATGGGGGGGGGGGGGGGGGCTTTTGTAATGAATGTGAAGACTGTGATACAGGACATGAGCAGTTTTTCATCCCTGTCTTCTGATGGCTTTTCACATCTGATGTCACCAAGTCCTGAGCCCAGCTCCCTTCTTTGCTCAATACCAGAACTGGCCTTTTTGTTGTGCTGAATGCTGTTTGTTCCCCTTCCCAGTCAACAGCCAGACCTATGCACAGAGTATTTTAAAGCCTAGCAATCGTGTAACTTGCTGCCAATGTCAGCATGTGTAAAAATGTCGTTGCAGACTATGGTGGCTCCTAATGTGGAGCAGTTCCTTAGGAGAGGGAGTGTGGTGGAACTGCAGGCGACCTGCCTGGAGTGGGAGAGGCAACTGCTGCTTGATAACTGATCTTGTGGAATGAGGGGGTAGAGTTGATAAAAATAATGAAAGGTCATAATGCAGAGTAATTGGGCATCAATTCCTGTACAAGAAACTTCGTTAATCCAGTGAAAGACTTTCAGTCCTGATCTGACAAATCCACAGGGAATTCCCCTCCAAATATGTTTTATTCCTCTCCTATTTGTGCCTTCCCACACCCCATCCCAGACCACTGATTTTTAGAAATGCTGTGATTAAGCATGAGGGACTGGATCCCCTTGGTAAAGCAGGCAGCTGGGGAGGTGAGGTTGCTTACTTTGAAATGTCTTCTCCAGAACCTTCCTGGCTTCAAAATCAGTGTTTGAAATTCACTGGCAGCTGAGCAGGGATTTTCAGTTTCACTGGGCTCTAATTGGGGAAACCAAAATCCCTGAGGAGAAGAAGTGTCCAAGTCTCTGAAGCTCCAGGTCATAGCACCTTTTCAGACCATTTCCCATCTGTCCCTTCAGTGGAAGGCACTGGCCTCAGCTGTTTGCTGCTTTCAGCAGCCTGTGTTTTGGAGGAGGCTTCTCAAGTGCAGGTTCTCATCATGCTGCCCTGAACAGACAAAGCTCTTTAACGTGCTGAGAGAGCAGACTCTCCAGTCCTGGCATTTCTTTATATTCCAGCCCACAACCATTCCCTTTCTGAGAAACCTAACCACTTTGTCTCCTTTATTCCCTCCCTCTCAGCTCCCTGGACACGTCTACTGCCATGAGATGTCTCTGCCAAGGATTTTGAGCCAAGATATGAGGGAAATGGTTTAACCAGATGTGTGCCCATGCCTGCGACACTGAACTTTGAGATGCTGATATTTAAAATGCTTGCCATCTCCTCTGCCTCCCAGCAGCAAGGTGAGTAATGGGTGGGACAGCAGCATATCCTGAAAAACACCTCTTTTTCAAGGGGAAGGAGAGGAGGTTATAATTCGACTAAAAATTTGCTCCAGGCTGAAAACTTGGCAAACAAAAGCTTAGCTTAGACGTGATTTAAAAGGAAACAACAAAAAAGCATAAAATAAATCAGGGCAGTTATTTTGGGTGGAGATGAGGGTCCAGAGCTTGAAGATCATTCTTTAGTGGGGGAGGAAAAGGAACAGCTCAAGACAGAGTTTCATTTGGCTCTTAGCCCTACTATAACTAAGCCTTTCAAAGCCATGAGAATAAACCGAATAAATGTCCAGTCCCTGGCCTCTCCACCCATTTGTCAGAGGAAAGCAAGGCCTTACGTACTCTTTAAAGTAGAGTGGATGCATATATGGTGGTATTAACTGACTTCATCCTATTGCCACTTTCTAAATACGGATTTCCCTGTCTCTTAAATTGTAAAAGCACAGAAAGCTGAGCTTAGACTCAGCTTACCTAAGAGACAAAGAGGGGCATCTGTTGCTTTCAGCATTCTGGATCTCCTCAGGCTCTCTCTTGCTCTGTGCCATACCATACCTGCTGCTCAGGATCTGTGTCCTGCTCTGCCTTCAGCATTGCACACTGCCACTCCTCCACAAGCTCAAGAGCTGAGCAAGAGGATGACTGCTCCTTGCAGCCCTTACATGGGCCAACTCCTCCGCAGTCCCAGGCTCACAAAGCTAAGGAAGAGGAAGAAGAACTGGTTGGCTGCATAGCAGCAAAGACCACAAACAGAATATACCTCTGGAAGGAAGGCTTTCCCAGACCATTACCTCATGTGCATAGCACACACTGTTGGCAGCACAGTTGGCACAGGCCTTGAGAAACAAAAGACAGGGCCCAGACAGTTACCATGTCTTTTGTCATCTCCAGAGCCCTGGGCCCCTCCAGCCTGTCTGCCCATACATAATTATATTGCAGGCTCCCTTTGTAGTGCTGTCACTGTGTGATATTCCTGACGGCCTGGAGCCTTCACACGTCAAGTTAGGGAGGAAAGTGTAATGCTGGCATTTTAGGCAAACCCCTCAGCCTACTGCCTTAATTATCCCATTGGATATGAGGAAAAAGATTTCACAGTGAGAGTGGGTTAAGCGTTGGAACAGGTAGTCCAGCAAAGTGTATGAAAGCTCCATCTTCGGAGATATTCTGACCTCAGTTGGATAAGGCCTAAAGCAACTTGACATAGCTTTGCTAACTCTCCTTATTGCTATGTACACTTCTAAACCAGCCATCCCCTCAGCTGCCTGGTGGAGTGCTTTGGCTGTAGCAGGTATGAGGGAACAAAAGGCAAAATGGATGATCAAAGGCTTGTAAAGGCTCCTTTCTGAAATTTTTCCTCCCCCTGCCTGGTTAATACATGTTTGGTTCCATCAGCTTAAGTGACATGGGCAGTTGTGGTTTAGGTGGGATGTTACCTAATTCTGCTCAGAACAGTCCTTCTTTGAAGGGCACCACAGCTTAAACCTCTCTGGCTTTTTTAACAGCCTTCATAGTTTGCTTTCACATATTTTTGTGTGTGTTCACAAATCCTCCCTTCAAGCACCTCAAGGCTGTCTGAAGAACTTAGTGCTCTCCAGCAGCAGACAGTGCCAGGCTTTGCTTCATTTTAAAGAAATGCACTTTAAATCTATCCTTTTACAAGGCTTAATGAGGCAGGTAGAGCCAGCCAATACAGAAACTTTTAGGACTAGGTCTGTTTGTTCTCTTACCTGTAGTGGTATACTGCATAATTTGAGATCAGCTTGCCAAAGCATCACCTTTCTCAGTATCTCAGTGGAGTCAACTCTACTAAGATGTCAAGGAAGGCTGTTTAAGAGATCCTGTTAAAGGGAAAGGAGCCTCATCTTTTAATTTGCTCTTATGTTTCTGTGCTGATGTTTTCATATATTGTCATTTCTAGGGAAGACTGAGCATGGAATTCAGCCCATCTTCTAGTTCCCCAAGTGCAGAAAAAAAACAGACTGATCTTCTCTCAAGCACTGGCATTTCCAGGGTACATGTTTTCAGGACACCAGCATTCCCAGGAAAGCTGCTTTTTCAAAGGTATGTCATCTCTTGTTTACATTGAAAAAACTGAAAAGGGGGGGGCGGAAATTGTCTTTGGCATCAAACCAAATCAAGTGTTTCTTTTCCCTAAACTTCTTTAAGCTTGTTCAAGAGAAAATGAAACTGTAAAAATGAATAAACAAAATGGAGATGAAGGTAATGGCAAGGTACTGACATTGGAGATAAGGTTAAATCCGAGCCCAGCAGAAAGAACATGGCAGTAGAAGTTTAACAAGTTAACTTTATGTGCCACTGTGTCATGCTTCCCTTTGTTGCTCAAGAATGTTGCTTCACTGGTTCCTAGGGTGTGAAGGGGCCATGCTGCTGGGAGGATGTGCCCCACAGACTATGCATGAGCCACTACTGGGCTACCTTTCCGTCTGAAAATTGTTGTTTTACTTGTATTACAGTTTTTCTACGGACCAGGAACTGGTCTGAACTTTGTGGTCAGAGGTCTTCTGTAGTATGACAGCCTGCAGAGCACTACTGTGTGGCAAAAGGGTGATGAGAGCAGGCAGGCATTCCAACCAAATCAAGGGAAGTTAATATGCCTCTGTAGAAAGTATTCACAGTGGTCAGGAGGCTTGGAAGATACCCATCTGGTGGAGTTCAGAACATTAAGCTAAATGCTCTGTCAAATAATGGAGATCCCTCTCACCTTTGCTGTCTTCAAAGGAAAGAGGCAGGACAGAGTCTGTGCTGTGTGTACACATCTAAAGCAATGCACAGGAGTAGCCTGACAGACCTTGTTGGGAAGGCAGAGTGCACTGTGAGTGCGTGACAAGCCCTGACATCTATATACCTTACCACTACCACCAGTGGCTTGAAGCCAGGATAGGTCAGAGTGTACACCAAGGACTGACATTTCTCCCTCCTGCCAGTGTTTGTACACATCCTAAGCTGCTATTGCACAACCTGGTGTGAGTGGCACGCTCTGCTCACAAGAGCCCCGAGACTGGAAGAGCAGGCTTCAGCTGTCTGTTTGGCAGGACTGTGATGCACTCACTGCCAGAGACACCTGAGCTGCTTGTGTTCCTTTCCCTCCTCCAGTTCCCACCTGCACCCCCTGCTTTGAAACAAAGGCTCCCACTAAAAGCAAAGAAGTAGCTATAGAGGAAGATTCCCTAGTTGCTGCCCACATGTCAACTGCTGCTGTTGCAGACTGTGGCTTTTGTGATGACAGCAATGATTCAATTAAATGATTTTTTAATACTTCCTCTTATGGCAGCAAGTCCTTTGTGTGGACACTCTTAAACCAGTCAGAGTGGCTGGGAACTGATCATGTGTAAATTTGCAAAGGGAAAGGAGGCCTAAATCTGCTTCTCTTTTTCTGTCTGTTGCCTCTACTTAGAAGCATAGCCAGGCAGTTTGATGATGGTGCCCAGCAAGTCTTTAGCTTTGCCCCTCTGGGGTCAGGCTCCTCCACCACTTGTTCTGCCCTTGGTAACCTTGGAGCCTGCTCCAAGGTGCATCTGTGTGAGCTCCAAGGCTGTTGTCATAACTGCCCCTTCTACCCATTCTAGCCTAAAAGACACTTTGCTGTAAAGGACCACACTTCACATGTAAATGACTCAGAAGAGCCAAGGTATGACTCCTACAACAGCTGTAACTCAGACCTTTTTGCACACATATTATTTTCTGTTAATATAGATGGTGTTAACATTAATGCCTTAACCCTTGAGGAGGGTAGCTAATTTCTAGGTTGGCATGACCAGGGAGCTGGCTGATTTCCAGTGTTTTGGGGAAAAGGCCAAGAAGTGCAATGCCAGTGTACTTATGGCTGCTGGTATTCCTGAGTGGAGTACATCCGGGTCTGTGCTTCATCATGGGCTTCCACCCACTGTCTGCCATCTCACCCCCATGTTCTGCTTGCGCCGTGGGCTGTGTCTTTAATGTTAAGGCTACAAGTTACCAAGCTGCAGTTGTGTGTTGTGATACTGTCAACCAGAATGCCTAGAAGGGGTCAAACTTTGCGGCTTACTACCCTAGCCATGCATGGCTGGTGGCCTAGGAAAGCACAGCCACCTTGGTCTGGGAGTTTTATGTCAGATGTAGCAAAAGTGTGACACCATCACCCTTGCACCCACCGTTGTTACTGAGACGTGGATCTAACCAGGGAAGGGCTGTGGCAAGTGGACAGGAGAGGAAAAGGGAGGTGGGATTCAGCCATCACGGCCCAGAGAAAGAAAACCCTGCGTTCATGCTTGCGTCAGTAGCGTGTCTGTGTGCTGACCCCAGGCTCACCTGAGCCTTGGCAAAGCTCGCTTTTGTTCTGTGTTGGCGTTCAGAATCCGGAGTTATCCCACAGCCACTTTGTGACCCGTTCCACCCAGACAGCCTGCCCATGATTGCTTCATAAAGCAAGACCCAGGAATCAAAAGCAGGGCATGTTTCCTGAGCAGAGATGGAAAACAGCTGTGCTGGAAAAAAGGAGGGGTTTGCTGGCTGAGCAGTGGAAAATACAGATCAAGGCCTGGTTGTGCAATCTTCCCTGGCTGGCCTTTGGCTGCTATTGTGGCAAGGGGACCAGCTGGAGTTGGCAGGAGGCTGCTGCCAGGCAATGGGGGTAGCAAGAGCCTCTGGTGACAAGGCTATAAACCTAGAGCTTAGTTCTGCACGTTTTACACATGCCTGGGAGGCTGATAAGGGCCATCTGGTGATGCTGCCCTCTCCTCTGTCCTGCGGCCAGATCTGTCTGGCCAGTCCCTGAATGGCCAGGCCGTTAGTGTAAAGGCACACAGATCTGTAGGGCTACAGAGAAGCAGCATCTGCCCAGGTGTGGAGCTCAGTTCCTGCCTTGTGCTCATAAAGTGCTCCCTGTGCGGCCACAGCCAGGGGATGTGGTTACGTAGTCTGGCCAGGTTCCTGTATCTGAACCCTCAGTAGGTGCACACCAAACAACCAGACAATGTGCATGCATGATATGCAGGGAGGCTGACCAGAAAACCTTAGAGCTAGCATCTGCTCTGCCACCACTGTCCTCTAGAATCAAGGAAAGGCTGTGTCATGTCTTTACTAGTGCTGCTTGTTTCAAGTCAGGCTTCTGGAAGTGTTCTTGATTTTTATCAAGTTAAAAATCTCTAACCAATAGTAACTGAACAGACTGAGTCTGAATCCAGAGTCAGCAGGATTCTGTCTGGTTTTAAAACCATTAATTATTGTGTACAAGAAGCAGAGGATGGACAAGAACAGAGAAGACGAATTAGGTCTTTGCTTCAGAGCCCAGTTATCAAAAAGATGACTGTCCTGCTGGGAGAGCCCCACAACATCTTTCCTCTCCCAGTGCTCTCTGTAACTGAGCAAAGAACTAAGGTAAGGAGCAAAATGGTGAGAAGGCAGAAGGCAAAGCAAGTAGGCAGGGCCATCAATCACCTCCTAGACTGATACATACCAGCTACATTGGCCTCTCTTCTTAGCACCTGGAACAGAAGAAGACAGTATGATGAATGTTTTTCACTCTATAGTATTGGAGTATGGATGCACTGTAATTGCAGGGAGATCATGCTTTTCTACAGCTGGCTCAACCTATGAGCTGAAACATATGGACTCAGAGCTTGCTCTGCAGCAGTTTCCAGTAGTGTTCATCACTAAGACAGTACAACTGCAGAGATAAAAAAAAACAACAAAAACCCAAACCAAACTGACTGCTGCTACAGAGCCCATGGAAGGAAAGAAGGAAGATGCGGTGTGGTGACCTCTAGGATAGGAGGGAACTGCAGAACTGAGGCAAAAGCAGTGCCCAGAGGGGTTGTAGAAGGAAGAAAATTTTGGTCCAAATAGCAAACTTTGAAGTGTTTCTGGCCCTGTATGCCAGGTTTTGTAATCCAGGTACTTCAAGGTGAGGAGCAGGATGGGTGTTGGCTTTGGATGCTGGAAGAACACAGTCTTAATGAGATGAACACTGAGAAAAGGTTGGATTCTCAAGGTACAGCTTATGGGAGGCTGCCACTGCACAAGAAAAGAAGACAAAGAACAATGAGTTCTGCTGAGGTAAAGGCACCAGCTTTAGCTATTTACAGTTTAAGCTGGGGCACACTAAACTTGGTACACAGCAGGCTTTGCACAAGTGCACACAAAATCAGTGTGTTTAAACCTGGGCAACTTTGTAGTGCATCCAGACAAACAAAACTCAGATAGATACACAAAACTGATAGTTGATAACAGCTTCTGCATTACTTGCAGATAAAACCTCCAGTCCTTCAGAGTTTATTTTCAATATAGAACAGGATGAAGGCATATTTTAGAAGTAATTTGCAAAGTGAGGTGCTGGTCTTTTGGCTTTTACTGAAATTAAAAAACCTGTCCTTCCCTTGTAACTTCTTAATGAGGGAACAGACATCAGAGTTCTCATGAAACAAACAAACATTCTGCATCTGTATCTGTTCAGCAAACGGGACCTCAACAGTGGCTGAAATAAAATTTCATTTAGAAAATGAGAAGTTTTGTTCTAATAGAAAAGCCCCAATTTTGATGAAATTATATTCCCTGAAGAAAAGCAAAACCAAACCTGTCATTCAAGGGTTTGACCCGAACTGTGTTTGCTTTTCAAGAGGGAGAAGAGTAGTAGAGAGAAAGCAAGTGTGGGTTTGGGAGAAAAGAAGTCCTACCAATAAATGGGGCAATGAAAGCAGAGGGAAGAAAGTACAAATTCCCAGGCATTCCAGACATACCTGGTATCCTTTACATCCTGTGCTCTGTGTTTCAGTTGTACATATTTCAGTGTTCCACTGCAGAGGCAGCTGCATTTCAGTTGTGAATTATTATACGAAGAGTTTTGTATAGTTGTCACAGGATCTTTTGAGGTGAAAAGGAGCTGACCACGGCAAAGAAAGTAAAATAGAACATGCAATCTATTAACTATGCTGGAAACCACTTATGCCACAGAGAAATGGGTGCCAGGAAGCAAAAACTTCCAGAAGAAATTAGCAATAAAGGAAAGAAAAAGGTAAAGACAAGTCCCTGGTAGCTGGGGGAAGAGAACAGGCTCATTACCACATCTGAGCTGTTGAAAAACAGCCTCTGGTTTTCTGTAGCTCTTCATCTGTTTTTCTGTTCATTTTTGTCCTTCTCTTTAACCTTGCTGGGTAAAACACATCTCCAAGGACAAATAAAAATGATTTTCTTACCAGTGCTGCTGACTGTGCAACCTGTCAGAAAACTGACTAAACTTGAAGCTCCTTCAGTCAGTCACTTTAAAATATAGTCAGCATTGTGTTCATAAAGAAAGGAAGAAGGATCAAAACGAAATACATGAATTCAACACCAGGGTTATTTTGATGTATATTAAGGCATTCCAACAGGCTCTGGGAGAAAACAGCAAAACTGTGGTGATGAGTAGTGTGACAAAGGGAAGTGTTGCAGAATACTAGGCTTGGCTCTTGTGTTATGGTGAAGATGCTTACTTAATTTGTCTCCATTAAATAGGTATTTTATTGAAGGATCCTTAGATCCAGAAAGATGGCTTGGGAACCAGAAAACACCACTTAGAACCCAGGCCAAGGAAACGTTCATTAATATTACTAGGGACACACTTAACCTGCCTAAAGAAAAATGTCTGGATCTTAACATTTGAGAGGCTGAGATCTGCAGTGGGTGCTTTTGTTGTTACTTACAGCCACCTTCCCTGGAAGCATTTCCCCTTTTTACCTGTACCACACGTGGATGGAGAACCATAATTCCTTCTAGGAAACTTCCCTGCCTCAGCTGCTTTTCTGCTCCTCAGAGGTGTGCTCAGGGAGTCAGACTTACAGTCCAAGTGGACTGAAGGTATTTATGCATTGGCAGGTCCATCTACTGTCTCTGCCAAACGCTGCTTTCAAACTGTGGACAAGGCAGAGGTAACTGTTCAAAACCAGCCTCAACTTGCACAGGGTCACAACAAGAAAGGTGAAATTACCATTTCTCCATTATTCATTGCCTGCACATTTACTGTGCACCAGGCCCATGCAGTTCATCCTTTCTATATATTCTAATGAGCATCAGATTTTGGCTTATGAGCAGATTGTATACGGGCTTAAAATGAGAAGTTGTGTGTGGCTCTCTTGGCTCTGTGTGCATGGGGGCTGTCTGCGTTGTGAAGTAGCTGGTTCAAATCCCTGAGCAAGAATAAATGAGAAGACATGGAGAGAATTAGCTGTAGGAACAAGGTGAACTCTAGAGCAAAAGATGTAATTTTTCAATCAAGCTTTTAATGAAAAGATCATAAAATAACAGTTTCTCATCACTGTACATTAAGACTGCAAATTTCTGAATGCTGAGATCATATTATAATTTCTGTATTTTTTTTATATGACACTTGAGTTGAAGCCACAAACTATGTGTGGCTCTGACCTGAATTCAAGCTCTTGAAGGAAATGAACAGAACATTGCAGCAGGAATGTCGGCCTTTCCCTTGCCCTTCCCTCCTTTCCCCTCCCCAGGAAACATCCAGGGCTCCTCAACTGACTGATAGTTAAGGCTTAAAATTAAAATAAAACAAAGAGAGATGCAACATCCCTTTTTCAGTATTCAAATAAAATGGGGAAAAAATATCCATCCAGCCAGAACAAGATCCTCTCCTCATAGAAAAGTTATCCCCAGCCAGCCAAACTCCTGTGAAAGTTAGAGAACAGTTGTGTTAGGTGCTTCGACTGATAACTTGTGAAAGAGAATGTTTAAAACCATCCCATCCTCAGGGAAAACAAACGCTAGGAATTGCGTCCCCCAACTGCCAACACATGTAGCATGATGTATCATGATGCATTGCACAGGGCTGCTCTGTTCAAAAACACTGATCCATTGATCCCCATGTGTTCAACACTGAGCTTCAAAATACTTAGTAAAATTGGGGAAGGAAGGAAAGAAGAGGATACTGATAGGAGACAACTGATCAAAAGATGCATTTCTAGCTCTAAACTTGTATTTCAGTGTCTCTGAGTCCAGTTAAAACAAGGAAAGCAAAATAAATAGTAATTCTGTTGTGACACAGGGATTAACTAGGGCTGAAAGAAAGAATCCTTCCTGACCAGGAGGTCCAGCTTACAGCCTTACAGCAGAGCTGGAACTGCCTCACAAGGGATTCCAGATCTCCTTTTACAAGGAAAGCAGCAGATTTAGCAAGTTTAATAGGAAATCATCAAAAGTGAGATTTCCTACTCTGAAAAATGCAAAGTATGAGGAATGGAAAGAGACTGAGAATCAGCTACTGTTTGCCTGCTTGTCCCCTGCACTAAAATCAGGACAATAAAGTACCATGAGACTTAAAACATTGCAGCAAGCTACTTTCAGCCGCTGAAAGTAACCACCAGATTTCCAAGAACATGGTCAGTTCTGGACTGCAAGGGAAAGCTTATGGAAAAAAGGGGTTTTACAAGTAATGGAGAGACTGCTGATGTGGAGCAAATTATTAAGTTTAACAAAAACTAAGGAAAAAAAGCTAGAAGTCTATTGAATTATTCCAGAATTACAGCTCAGAGTTCCTTTAGATTTTAAACTCTTGCTTAAACAAATGTTCATTCAAACATGCCATCTCAATGATGAGCATTTATGCTGTCTGGGGAGAGCAAGATATTTGCTATGTAGAGCTTCTGAAACCCATTTTAAAACGTAGGAAGGTTTTGTCTCTTTGTTTTCTCTTTGCTTTTCCCTTAACTCCAGCACAGCTGATTGGAAAGGTTTCTGAATTTGGCAAATATCCATAAATCAGCAAACATCCCTTCTTTATGCTAATTTTTAAGGCTGTAGGAGGTCCATAACTGCTGACTCCACCAATACTGCTGGAGTAAGAGGCTTTGTGAAGTACAGCTTGACCCTGGGACTCTAAGCACGTCACACTACGGGGAGTCTGATGCTTCAGTATAGTTGCAAGGCTCATCAGAAGATGGCACAGAGGCTGCTGGGTTTGGCACAAAACTTCCTCTAGGTATCTTAGGCATCAGCTCCCCAGTTCTGAGATCCTTATTGCTAGCACAGTAAACAGTGAGTGGGATGAGGGAGAGTAAAGGAGCTATGTCCTGTCAGGCAGGACAAGAGGCTGGGCTCAGTCACAAGCTGCAATCAGAAGCACACAGCTGTTCCCGTGATGACTTTTACCTTCTCTGGGTTTTGCCAGCTCTCACCTCAGAATTGCTTTTGTGTCACTGAGTGCACTGGATGTTTCCCTGGTCAAGACCCACACTCCTGCTTTTCAGAACTGAAGCGACACGGTAAAATACTGCTAACCCAGACTTTGAACCTGCACTGCTTGTTAAACAATGCTTTCCACACACACGAGAGAGAGGAAATAAAAACAAAAAACCAAAACAGGAATCTTAAGAGAGTGACACTGTAAATTGAAACATTTAAATACAGCAAAACATAAATTCCTCTTCTATGCAAAGCTACAAAAGTCCAGTCTTTGTATTGTCTTCACAGGTTATGGTTTATGGCTATGCTGAGAGTCTCTGAGATCCTTTTTTTTTTTTCTTTTTTTTTTAATATATTTTTTCTTTTTTTTTTTTTTTTTGAAATCCTGTAGAGAAGACCCTGCGGACACATCTTTGTGTTTGCAACTTTCTGAATTACATTGCAAAACTGTGCATACAGAATCTGAGAAATAAATACATTCATTACTGCACATACATATTGATACAAAAACAACACTGTCAAATAGTGTTTGCACCATCTTTGTTAGATATTAAGACCAGGCAAAATTAATATTTCATTTTCCATCAGCCCCCCCTCAAATCTTTGAGGTGGCTTTGGTGTAGAAGGTAAAAGCTACAACGGGTCAAGACTAAGGATGGGGAGCCTTATTTTTAATCCTTTTTTTTTTGGCTTCAGCAGTATTTTAGCAAACCACCTTCACTGGTCATCTTTAAACTGTCCTAACATGCAAATCAAGCTTAGGTTCCCACCTAGAATGCTTTAGGAGTTTTGGCTGGGCTCTTTGGGCATGACTGTGAAGTCTGGAGTGAATCAATCCAGCTGTTAAATTAAGAGGTGGCTCAGATGGTCCCAACAGTACAGCTCAGGCCCCAGCACAGCTCTGAACAGGAGGAGGCAGGTAGGGGCTGTGCTCTTGCCCTCACACCAGACCATTAAAGCTACCGAAGTCAGCGCAGGAAGAGCAGCCACCTCTGCCACAGCCCTGCCCAGAGGGGCCCTTCCGAGTTGTGCGTACTCTTCCATATCAGCAGCCACAAAGCTTCACAGAAGCTGCATGTCAATAGCTCTTTGGTGTCTTCTGTGAACTTTGTGGCTCCTGCTAATTCCCCCACATGCACAGAGCTGGGCTTTTGGGGCTTTTTTTGCCAGGAATTTGGTTTTGGGGGTTTTTCAGTAAAGGATTGGAAAGCAGCTCAGCCCAGCTCCCCATGGCTAACAGTAAGGAGATGTGCTGGGTACAGCAGCTCCCACCATCTTCTGACAACGTCCTTCTCTATCTGTAGAGCATCTTGCGTCTCTCTTTGCCCTCTTGATAACCCTCAGACTCCTCTGAGGAAGAGGTAGGCTGGAATGCCACCACAATAGTGCCTGGGTCTCATTCCCAGCAACATCTCTTATGGGTTGAAGACAAAGAAAATAGTATCTACGTGCCATATTTGTCATTGCCCTCCCTCTCCCTGCCCTCCTGAGCAGCGCTGGAATGCAGGCTGGGACACAGGTCTCCCTCCCAAGCTGGGGAGCGCTGCGTAGCCTTCACAGACAAACCAATGGAAAAAGCAAAGATTAATTTTGACTGGCCCCTAGATCTGTTGAGGTCTGAAACTGTAAAAGTTTATGTAAACAATGAGATAAATATATTAGTACTTTTCTGAGCCAAGTGAGGTTCCATACTCATTCAAATGTGCTTTGGTTTAAAAAATAGTTTTGTGAATTTGGGTATGAGCTTCTTTATTCTTTTATACAACTTTTGCTATTTTATCTTTTTTCCTGTTATTCCGAAAACATTCTGGAACTAAGTAAGTGACTAAAGCATATACTTAAGCTGCCTGGCCTCTTCTTTTTTTTTTTAATTTTTGTTTTTTTGTTTGTTTTTAAATTGTTTTATTCCTCTTGAGGCTCTTTGTGTATTAAAAAAAAAAATTAAAAATAAAAAAAACAAACCAAAAAATGCAGCTCCCTCCCCCCCACCCTAAAACTCTTAAAATCTTAAATATGAAACTAGTGTTTTGCTTTCTCATTAAAATACAGAAAAATGTTTGATACAATACTATGTCGTATAAATGCAGTTGAGTGTTTAGGCCCCAAGCAGGCCTGAAACAGTCCCTGAAGCTTTGAGTATTATTCATTATTACTGTCACAATTTGGAAAATGTTGTTTATACTCAATCTATGGAACACAACTTTACACAGCTACTTGAAAACAAAAGAACAAAAATCTCCTTTTGTACAATACTCTTGCTGTACACAGACTTTATGTCGTATGGTTTAAGTGCTGGGGAGGGGATCAAGTTAAAAAAGAAAGATGCTCTGAAAAATGGTTTTAAAAAATAGCATTGGGTCCTGAAACTTCAACATGGTTCTCAAAGGCTTAAGAAACAAATGACGAGGGGGCCTGGGAGGGGAGAGGCTACATCACCCACACACATGCTTGTAGAAATGGAGTTAAGAGAGGGGGAGCAGGTTATTTGCCTGCTGAGGAGCTCACTGCTTCCTCATGTCTTGGGCTGCTCCATGGCTTGGCTCAGTGGGTCATAGCGAGCTGCTATCCCAGGGCTGGCTTCTGCAGACACCCTCCTGCTGCCCCATCACTGCTGGGCAAACTGCAGGGCCACAAGGGAATGGGGGGGACCAGCATCCCAAACCCATAAGGGAGCTGCAGCCTGAGCCAGGGTGGGATTCAGCTCAGCTTTAGGGTGGTTGAAGGGAAGATAAAGGCAGGGTGAAAGTGCCTAGGAACTAATGTTGCACTGCTGTCCCTCAGCCCTGCTGAGACTTGCTCTGAGAAAAAGGTAGATGGCAGGGCCCTCCCTGTCCTCCCCAAGGGCTGTTTTGGGGACGTTCTCAGGGGGGTTTGGCAAGGAATCAGGGAAAAAAGAATTCAATATATATTCAAAATGTGGAAGTGCTAAAGACACTAAAATCACACCTAACCCCCCCCCCCGAAGAAAACAGCGCATCTCAGCACAGTCAGGAAAAAACACAAATCCATGCTCCCCTCTCGCAGGGTCCGCAGACAATGGCACTGGGAGCAGCACCCTGGAGGAGGGCAGGAGAGGGGCCAGCGTGTTCCCTGTAACATAACACCAGGCCAAGGCTCGGCCTTTGGGATCTCTATTGCTTGGAGCCTGGGTTCCAGTTTCCTCAGTTCATTCAATTGACCCAAAAACTTCTTACGGACTAGTCTACCTTAACAAACAAATAAAAAAACAAATAAAAAAAAAACCAATAGAAAATGAAGCTTATATTCCTTTGTTTTAGTCAAACATGATCGCTTTTTTCTTTTTTTTTGGTCAAAACTTTAAAAAAATTGGTTTTGTTTCTTTCCTGAAACAGACAAAGCGTGAGGTCTGGAGAACCTTCCGCAGAGACTGAACTGGTTTGAGTGGGGGAAAAACCCAAACAGAACAACTGAGAAAACACAAGTGTAAACCTGACTCAATTCAGAAGGGGTGATTCTACTGGCTGTGAATTTTTACCACCACAGTCACGGGAGGCTTGAAATAAGCCATAGCTTTCCACAAGGTCACGCCAACAAAGTCAAGGGGGCCAAGAATTGGTGGGCTAAGTTCTCTGTCTTCTCTCCTAAACCAATAGCAGCTGTTGGCTGTGATGTCTTATGCAGATGTTGTAAGAACATTTTGTTTCTTTTTCTTTTCATTTTTCTTTTTTTTATCCTTTTTTTTCTTTTTTTTTTTGTGTGCGTGTGTTAAATTGTCTAAAAGGGAGGATATGAAACACTTTGGTTTGCTTTTTCCTCCTCTCCCCCACCTTATTGCACTCTGGATTCTAGTAAATTATAGGCTGCTATGCCCTCACCCTCTGTCCTGCCAGGTGTTTACAGACTGACCCAGATGTGCTGGGGGAGTGGAAGATGAGGGGGACATTTTCCCCTCCCCATGGGATCCAGATTCAATAAACAAAGCTGGAAAGGGCCCAAAAAGCTCAGAGAAGTTTTCTTCTTTTATCTAAAAGTGACTACAACCAGCCAAGAGACTGCGAATGAGCCAGTCCAAGCAGCCAGCACAACCTCTGGCTCAAACTATGTTTTTTGCTTTGTCTTTGGCCAAGCTTTGCTTTAACATTTCTCTAGCTGACTTTTGATGGAAGGACAGGGTGGTAAAAATCCCTTAACTTTAATTTAGCTTCTACTTTTATACATTTAATTACTTACAATAAAAGAAAAAAAAGCCTAATCTTTCACTAACCATCTTATTGTTCTCATGAAGTCAAGAGGTAGCAAAGGTAACAAGCCTGTCCACACAGACTCGCTCTTTAGTGAGGGAGGAAAGCTAAAAACATACACACACACACAAAATAAAATAAAAAATAATAAAAAAGTACCTAAGGAACTTGTAGCAAGTCCAGCCTACATCAAACCCCCTCCCCACCCACCCCCCAGAATTAACCTCAGACCTTCCAGTTCAAACATTCACATAAACGTTACAATGGTTTTTCCTTTAATAAAACAAGTACCTCTAAGCAAAGAATATCCATACGAAACTACTAGAAAAGTAAAGACGACCCCCTGCTCACTGAAAGAAATTCCCAGGGCATCCAGGCCCTGTTCAGTCATGGGTAAGGCAGAAGAGGTTTGCGTGTTTTGTGGGAAGGAGGTGGCATGTGGTTACGTGTGCCAAGGATAAAGATCAAAACCAAAAGAGGAAGGCATGGTGAGGGAGGCATCGCTCAAGCTGGTGCACTCCCCGCCATCGCCAGGCCAGGGGAAGGGTGGTGGGTTCCACCACTGCTATGGCTTTCCCACAGTGTCTGAAGGGGCTGCCAGCTCTGTGAGATGGTCCACAGACACAGCTTCTGCACTTGTGAATGCAAGGCTGTGTTGTTTCACAGCTATTGAGGCCACTGGAAAGGTGTATTTTATTGTTTTTTTGATGGCAAGAAATGCCCCTAATGAGTTTGGGTTTAAGAGAGGAGGCAAGTAGGGTGACAGTAACAGGAAGGAAAGAGGCAGGGAGTGGGGAGCCAGCAGAAGGTTCCCCATGGTCCCCCTCCTACCTGCTCCAGATAATCAGTATGACAATGAAGTCAATGTGTGCAAAAAGAAGTGGCATTTCTTACCAGATCACCAGGATTCGGAGGGAGAGTTGGACTAAATGCGTCAGCTTGGCTGTGGACCTTTCTTTTTTTTTAAAAAAAGGGAAAAAAGGAACTTTTTTTTTTAAAATGTTAAAGCTACATTTGTTTAGGCCTCCCATGACTGAACAGAGTGTGGGGACTTGCCCCCTTTTTTGTTTTTTTTTTTTCTTTTTGTTTTTTTTTTTTAAGCAGCAAGTCTACAGAAAGGTAAATCACTGCGGATGGGCTTGAAGCTCATTCTGGAGTCTTTGGCTTATGTGGGAGAGGTATGCATTCGCAGGTGGCTGATCAGATTGCGCTGCTGGGTGAATTTCCCACCACACAGTTGACATTCGTAAGGTTTTTCTCCTGAGTGGACACGCATATGCTCTGTCAGTCGGTACTGCCGGGTAAAGCGCATCCCGCATTCCTCGCAAGCAAAGGGCTTGAGCCCTAAGTGGCTGCGCATGTGCCGTGTCATGGTGCCCCGCTGTGTGAACATCTTGCCGCAGATGTTGCAAGGGAAGGGCCGTGTCAGCCAGTGAGTCTTCTCGTGCTGCCGCAGCGTGGCTGGATCCTTGTAGCTCTTCTCACACACTGAACACTTGAAGGGTCGGGATTCCGCGGCGTAGGACTGGTTGGGGTTGGACAAATCCTCGGCTTCATCCTTGCCGCCGTATGTGCCTTCCTCCTTGATGTAAAGGTCTTCCTCGGTGTGCGTCTCCACATGGGCGTTGAGTTGCTCAGAGCTCGGGAAGCCTTTGCCACAGGGGATACAGACATACAGGTTGTCACCGTAGGCCACTGGCTCAAACCCCTCCTGCCGGTAGACGTAGTTGGCACTAGTATGCCCGCCGCTCTCACTCTCGCTCTGGCCGCTGTCGTCACTGTTCTCCTTGCCATTTTCCACCTCCTCCTTACACGGGTAGGGTAGGTCTGCGCCGTAGGCCCCAGCCAGACTCCTCTCCACAGACTTGGACAAGGGCCCCAGCAGGATACCATTGGGCAGCCCTTCACCCTCGTCCCTGTCTTTGCCTCCCTCCTTTCGGTCGAAGGCATTGTCTTTCTTGATCCACTCCTTCTTGCGGGACGAGTGTCGGAGGCCCTTGCGCTGGCTGCTCTCCGTCAGTGAGTGGTGGCACTCTTCGCTCAGATCCATCTCCATGGGGTCGCTGCTGTCTGCCATGCTGTGAGGGGCTCCGACTCCAGACTCGTCAAACGATGAGGCACTGTTGGCTGCAGGGGCTGAGGCAGATTGGGGAGAGCCATGCTGGCTTTCGCTGTGCTGCGTGTCATCATGGGAGGCTGCAACAGGGAGTGACGGGCTTTTTTTGGACAGATCGAGGCCTAGCTCCTGGTCCCCAGTGCTCCCGTTCGCACTGCCGCTCCCACCACCGTTCTTACTGGCTCCCCTGCTTAAGGAGTGACAGTTCTCTTGGTTGGAGCTACTGATGAAGACCTCATCATCGGAGAGCTTTCCCTTTGACAGCTCTTTTGAGTGCGAGCCCTTCAACCCCTCATTTGACCCTGAATAGCGAGCTTGGATGACCGAAGCAGTGGAAAGTCTCTGACTCCTGGCAGATCTCCCGACACCAAGGCCACCGGCCTTGCCAGCAAAGGACTTGCCGTTCCGCTTCAGCTTCTTTCTGCAGAGAGCTGCCAGGTCGTGCAGTTGGAGGTAGCTTGCTGCGGTGAGGAGAGCATTAAAGTTCTGTTCACCGGGCTGGTCAGTCGTTAAGAGCTTACCAGTATAAATAAAGTCCAAGACCTGCCGGAACACGGTGGGGTTCACCATGTCTGTGTCTAAGTTAATCAGGTTGTCATGCAGGACAAGGGATTTGAAATACATGCTGCTGGCTGCCAGGATGTTCTTATGGGCACGAAACAGGGCATTTTCTACCACAATGATCACATCACAGAGGAAACCTTTGGCTCGTTGCTGGTTCAGCTGCAGTAGCAGTTGTTTGGCATGATTTGGCAGTTCCATCTCCACCTTCTCTTCCTTTCACCTTCACCTTACCACCTGCAAAAGAGGAGGATGAGAGGGTGTGAACCTGCTGTTTCCACTCTAACAAGTCTACATTTAATAGACTGGCTTAACGCAGTTAATGTTAGGCTTGACACTGACTAAGGAGATCTGGGTATGTTCAGCCCTGCAAGCTGTGATCCTGCTTGGAGTACAGGGAGAATTATTTCTCACATTAAGCTTTGATTCAAGTCTTTCAAAAATCAGATTTGTAAATATCTCTTTACAAAAGCAGCCGTCATTGGCTGGAATTACTATTCAAAAGATGCCAGCAGGAACACAATAGTTAGGTATGGGAGAAAGCTGTTTCTCTCTCTTGACACAAATCTGAAAGGAGGATGAAGAGCAAGAAAAAAAAAGGAAGAAAAAAGCAGCATCTACTTCACTTCCATTTGCATATCTGAGCATGTAAAATAATTCGCATAAGCTGCAGCTCCCCTGCTTTAACATGTAGTTTGATTCTTGGCTCTTACATGTTGAAATCCTACAACACCCAGCTGCTCCGGAGTGGAGAAAATGACATGTTGCAACTAAATCCATTGAAGATGGAATTAATCACACCAAGGTGTGAATGGGGAATCTCCTTAAGAGTATGAAAGGCTGTCTTAAAAACCACCCCCTGGCAATATCCATATCCCAAATCCATTGACATGAAGGGCTAGAATCAACCCTGAACTGGCTGCAGTTCAGGATGCTGAGCTAGCTAAATGCCACCAAATGTCTTCAACAATCTGAAAGTGATTTCTTAAGTTAATTCTGGCCTGCCTTTAGGTTTGAAGGAATTTTGTTCAAACTGGTAAGAGTCGAGTAACTAACACAAGTCACAGTCTCTCTACCCTGAAGTGCTGGGAAGAGGGGAAGATTGTGGCTACCTCTGTGTAGTTCATGTATTTCACAAATAGTATTCACAATGTATTTTGGATACTTATATCGATTCTCTCAGTAGCATGGACTGTAGGAAATACCTAGTTTGAGGCATATCAGAACTAATTGCAATTGCATGTGTGGTAGATACTATAGCACATAAAAAACAGAATTTAAATCTGGGGCTGCATTCAGGAATCCAACATAAAATTTTATTTTTGGTTTGGTTTTGTTTGAAAGAGCCACCTACTACTTGTAATGGGCATTTATCTGTGAAGAGTGATTTCAAACAGTCTCTGGAGTTCAAATATAGGAATTAAATACCAAAGATACAACAGCGACATTTAGCCTTCCACCTCCTTCTTTCCCTAGTTTATCATGTTATTGAAACAGATTTCTCTTACTGAAGGAGGAGCAGGCCATAAGTGCATAGAAATGAAGAGCTTAAATTTTCTCTTAAAATCATAATCAGTTAATGTCTTTACTGCTTGTGAGTCCCATTATCCCATTCTGTCCCATCACATTCCAAATGATGAAGCATTAGACTTCCCTCTGCGTCAGGTATGTACACAAGAGAAATAAGGATCGATACTATCAGTATTAAAAATAATCTCAGAGCTGATTCTTACTAACTGGTGATAAATAGGAAGATTTAATTTGGCAGAAAGGTGGTAAATTTACATCGTCCATTTCTGCACAACAAAAAGATTTTGCTTTCTGAAAAAAGCTACTGAAAGGTAAAGGAATATAGTTTTTCCTCCAGCGTTGCTGCCTGGCTAGCCTGGTACTTATACTTCTTCCAGCATATCAGATCTGCCAAGCATGTGCCTCCCTTCCTCCACAGGACAAATTCGTTCACTTTGTTATCTGGTCAGCCTGGTACTTGGTTATACATTTGGTAGAATTTGGTAGCCGCTGTTCAGTGCGCCAGCACCTAATTCAGCATCCACACAGATCTCAGTGGCTCACTGCCTTGACCCGCAGCTGAAATGGCTGCTCTGCTTTTGTGTTCTATATTGTTTCAGCAATGGATGGCAACCCAAGAAGACAGTGGATTCACCACTGTGCCTTTGTACACATTAATGTTGTTCCCAGAGATGGCTGGCTTTAGAAAGGGTAGCAGCCAACAGGAGGAACTGCAGGCTTGCCATGGTGCTGCCAGCTATTTCTTCTTCATTTGTAGTGTTTCTGTCATAGAAGCTCATCCTGCAGCATCCCAAAAACATGACAGAGACAGGGATTACCACCAGCGAACAGTGCCGAGCACTTTAAAAACAAGTTTTGCTGTAATGAGTTACATCAGAGTTGCAGCACGCAGGCAATGTGTCTGGTTCTAGTGGCTTGCTTCCAGAATTGCTGATTAAGAGGAAGGAGCAACAGCACAGAGGCACCAAATACCCACTTTTATCTAGCCAGGCCAGTAAAAGCACTTACTTCTGGGTCACCAAGATATATTGATAAGGAAGGACAAAAACATGGCCTGTAACATAACACAGCATCTATATATACACAACTGCATCCTGCTCGAGAATAGCACGAGACAGCCTACTCCTACGCTATTTTCACTACAAACATAATGGTGGCTTTTCCATGCATATAACACACAAAATCCCTGGATATGATTTTTATGTGCTCCATAAAGTACAAATATGGTAAAGGAAAGGAAACAGCACAGCCAATATTTTTTCCTAAACAGACTAATAAAAAAAGAAAAGTGTGTTACTGAAGTAAAAGCGAGCTTATTTCCCATTCATGTGGTACTTGAAGCAGAGGTCTAGAAACCTCTGTGTATGTACTTGTCTAAGTCTTTGCAAATAGTAAAGACTTGCTGCAGCTACTAATAGAAAATATGGTTACATTTTCATTTCTTTTTTCTTTCTTTCTGCCTTAAATGATATTGAGAACAGGTAATAAGCCTGTAGGGAAAGCCCTGGAAACAGGGGTAGAATTTTAAGTCTGCTTTTTAGTGACCTTCATGAGGAAAATAAGATTATTAAACCTCAGTACGTTCTGCCGCATAAAAATTAGCATGGTACAAGTTGTTTAAATTGCCTCTATTTATCTCACACGTCAAATTGTACAGAAGTATTCATGTTCAGTAGCATGTAAGTGTGAGGTCAGTTATTACCTTTAGTAGATTTTAAAAGCAGTGGTCAGGTTTAAGCACTGTAACACTGCCTGTCAAATTTGCATTTGCCAGCTGAAGTCTATCATGGATTTAGCAATCCCAACAAAATAAATGGGATGGGAAAAGGCAGCAAAACCTTCAGCCAAGTTTCCAGCCCCATGTTTAAAATTTTGCCAGAATTGCCCACTGAGGGCTTTGCCCAGGGCAGCAGCGTGGTCAGAGAACACACCTCTGACTGACCGACAGAAGCTTTACAGCATCAACCTGGCTTGTGTGTCTTGTGCAGTCCTGGACAAAACTAAATTCATTCCAAGTATTTTCCAGAGCTGACCAGTTACAAACCCTTCTTTAATGCATTTCAGAGGTGGAGGAAGAGGGGTGTTGGAAAACTTGTCAGCAAAAGAGAAACAGGCATTATTCCTTAATCTAAGGCATTCCTAAAATCTCACTTCTAGCTGGAAGCATGGGACCAGACACAACTACAAGGTTAAGTCCAGGATAAAAGTTAGCAGATCTTCTCAAACAAATGGCAGATACAGCCTTGCAAAGGCCTTGCTATCTATCAGTTTGCAGCTGGCCCTTAACAAACCCTCAGCATTTGGATAACATCACCACCACCAGTAATGACAACAAAAGCTCCCCAAAGCCCTGAAAAATCACAGTGGTTTGTATTTGTTGTATCTCAGTGTCATTTGTAAGAACCCTTCCTTTTCTGTTCTCTTCAAAAAGACAGGAAAAACCATATTCCTGCTTCAGGGGAGCCCTGCCTTAGGAAAGGCTCAGATGCATTTCCAGTAAAAAAACCAAAGCCCAAGAGTACGTAGATGTCTCGCTGGGGCCAAGTCTTTTTTATCATTGAATTTGGTGTGCAGAATTTTACTCCTTGGCATTTAAAACACGATCACAGAAGGCTTTGGACAAATAGCATTAGAGATGGCCTGGTTTTCAGATTCAGACTGCTTCCTAGGCATTCAAGACAGATTTCAGAGCAAATATTCTTCTGCAAGTAGGGAATGAGGCAAGACTGAGGCTCCCACTACCTCAACCATATCCATGACACTGAGACACACAGCACATGCAAAGACATGAAAAATACAGGGCACAAATCACAGAATACAGTAATGCTGCAAGCAGATGCCACACATCAGACAAAGCTTTGCAAGCTAAGAGCTGACAGCATCTTCATAAGCTTATTGCCCAAGGAGGTGGGTAACTGACAGCCGCTGTGCCCAGCCTGGGGCACACTGGGATCCTGTGGGCATGAAGATTGTGCAGAACACACAGACAGCTCCAGGAACTGAGCTGCTCTCACTACAAAGCAGGAAAAACTTCATTTTCTCTCAATTTCCACAAAGACTCTGGACATCACAGAATATTACATTGCCAAAGTACAGGAGACAGGAGTCCCTTCACCCTTTTAAATAGCAAAAATCTACATATTCACTGCAGATCTGATTTTCTTTAATATCACTAAATCTTTTCCTAAAAGGAATTGCTGAGTGAATGCTAAATATGTTATCTTAGCAACCTCTGGCAGGAGATGCCACTTGATTTCATCTCTGAGTTATAGATTGCAGCATATGAATATTGTTTACCTTTTAAGAAGCAACACCAGTGAAGCAAAGAATCAATCAAAAACAGATCTAAGGAATCACTCATTTCACGTAGAGGATTTGTGGATGGATGAGAAGATTAGACACCGAGCACCTGAACAGTGAACTAACAGTACTGCAGATAAAAACCAACAAACAGATTAGATGTGATGTATCACATTAGATGCTGTTAAAGCATTAGCCTACTGTGCATGTTATAATATACCTAGGGCAAGATAGTGGCCTGCTTACTTATTTCTCCACCTTCCCAAGCAGTTGTGCTGTGCTGAGCAGACACTGCAGCAGTGAGTGTGGGGAAGAACAAGACAAAATTAAATCAATTGTTTCCTGCATTGCTCTTTCCCACCGGTTTACTTCCGACATTAAAAATGCTGTGTCCAATTGCTATGGGACCTGGGTGAAACTTGAAACAGGTGACTTCTGCACTCTTCAGTTTCAGATGAGCTAACTTCTTCGCTGCACTTGAGGACCCCACTGGGAAGAGAGCTTTCCTGTTGCTCTCTGGCTCATCTGATCTTTCTCTCCCCACATCCCAACAGAACCTATTTCCAGGACTCTGCAATGTATCAGTGAAGTGGGCTTCCCCCCAGGAGCTGCAGTAGTCCAGTCATTAGCCCATGCCTTTTAAAGGTATTCACATTCCAGAGCAGCAGAGACATGGGGAGGAATGCAGGGACTGTGTTAGCCCAAACGGTTCCCTATCCCCATCCCCTGTGAGCAGGCAGACAGCAGAACTCGGAAACAGAGGCAAGAGCATGCATTTTCATCATTGGCAGTGGAGCAGCAAAAGCTCTGTGGTGTGGGCTCAAGCAGCAAACAGGATGCAGCACCCTTGTTCTTCTCACCGGAATAACTCACTTCAAAATAGGTAAGACCAATGTGTCAAGTTACTCGGGGAGAGGTCTGCAGAGCTGGGGAAGGGAGAGGAAGTGACATGCAGGACAGAGCAGGATGTGCAGCTGATGTGGCAGGTTTGGACATGGAAAGAAGGAGAATGGAGGATCTTTTCACAGAGGATACCACATCAGCAAACTTAAGAGTGGCCATTGTTTAGTTTGTTACATTCCAAGTAGTGCCAGGCAGAACTTCCCTCCCAGCTCCCTGAAGCAGCTCTAGCAGGACTCCTGCAGAAACAGTATGGCCTTGCTTATGGACACAAGCACCTTTTGGGTACCTCTGTGCAGCAGCGTTTGGACATTAGGTACGTGGGCAATACATGCTCTACTGCTACCAGCTCCTGGCCCAAAAAGGAGAGAAGAGTCAGATGATTTCCCAGTCCCTTCTCTTTCCTGTCCTAGAATAACAAGGAGAGCCTAACATGGCTAGGCCGTTCCCTACTGCATGGCAAACTGCCCAGAGAAGGGGAATCTCCATGGGTGAAAAGGGTAAGGGCCCTGTGTGCACGAAAGCACTAACATCAGGAGAGCAAGTGATTTCTAGTCAGTGCAAGGCTGCAGCAAAGCAGGAACACCTTGCTATACAAGCTGAGACTATGAGCAGTAGAATGCAGATTAACCACTTGGTTGCCGCTTACCATGCCAGGTACATTGGGCTAAAGGCACCTCCATCCAGTGCTGCCCGACGTGCCAGGTACATCCCATGATGTTCCATTGAAATCACAACAGGCCATCAATAGAACGTGGCTGCACGGATGCAGAATGGAGAACCAGCAGGGACGCTGTTAAATGCAATTAAAAAACTGCAATCAAAATTGAAAGGTACATTTTAAAACGGCCACCTGCCTTATATATGTAACTACCAGAACAACCTCCCCTCCACCCAGCTCCCCAGCACTGCTGAACTGTGACAGAAACACAGCAGAAAGCCTCTGCAAGTTTCTTGATGACTGTGGCCACCTCCAGTCAGGGCTCCCAATGGCACTGAGCTTCAGGGGGACCAGTCCATGTGTATCCAAGAACACCAGATCCCAGGATGTCTACATCAGCTTCCTTCTGCCTGGAAATTCAGGCAACTAAATATCACCATTTAGAAATGCCTCTACAAGAAAGCCCTGGCACCAGAGCTTCACGGTCTCATTCCCCACGCAATGGAAGGAACACTTCAATACTGATCATCTCTGTTGTCCCAATTTTCCAGTCCCCCTTCCCAAGCCTTTGGAATCCTGTTCTTCTAGAGATGTTATGGCATTGAGACAGGCTTTTGTTACATCTGCAGGGCAAGACGAGAAAAGAAAACAGTGTGTATCTTCTATTTATAATGATGCTTCACTGCTAATTCAATGTAGGTTCTTGGAGACTGGAGATCAAGTTGATTCATGGGGAAATGCAGGTGGTATGAGAGTCGCAAAACTCAAGATCTGTAATTTCACCCTTCCCTGCCCAAAGGAAACAGCAACAACATCTTTTCCATGTCAGGGAAAAGCACATCCCACAGATACCCTAGGCTTGATAACCTGAGTGTATCCTCTGCAGTGCCTATCCCTCCTTTCCCCAGAGCTCCTGTAATCAGCTCCAGGCAGTCTCAGGGTAGATGCTAAGGACTGGTCCCTCTCTACAGGTGGTGATGCTGCCCCAACGGGGAAAAAAAATAAGACAACAAACCCACAACACAAAAAGCAGAACAGAAACAAGCCTGCAGCCTCGCAGGGATTTAAAATAGGGTTTTAGACCTTCATAGTGAAGTGAAACTTCAGCATAGCTCTTGTTACATTGATGGCTGCATGTCTCTAGCTGTGCTGTTAGAGACAGAAATCTTACATTTAAAATGTTAAAAGAATATTGATTATTATTTCAACCTTAAAAGGTAAGAGGCGAAATGAAAAAGATTTACAGTAATTAATGTAGCTGGACGAGAGAGAACATAAAGGAGGACACTGGCCTGGGAAATAGAAAGTGTCTTTGTAAAAAGGACGCTGAATCTAAGGAGATAGTTCTTCATTCATCCTGGACATTTGCTGGGCTCAAGCCCAGGACAGTGTTCCCATCATTCCCACCTGCATTCTTATCCCCACAGTTCTGTAACTAAATCCTTTTCACACTGAACTAATAGGTCTTTTGTATTCAGATTGCCCTGTTTTGACTGCTATAGACTGAAGATTTTTAAATCTTGTCAATACAATGAAGAAGTGAAATGTAAGCAAGTGTTTGCTTACTGACCTGGGCTATGCTGAGCCAAGAGCATTTGCTGAACCAGTCTGAACGGGCAACTGCCAGCATGAACAGACCAAACACGTTTAGATAGCATGCAGCTTTAAACATCAGGGCCAGAGCCCCAGGGATTTGGAGCTCCCCCCTCCCCAAGAGATCACACACTCTAGAATGCATGCAAGCAGCATACTACTGGCTGCATCTGCCAGCATCGGGACCGCAAAACAGTCAGCAGTACCAGCAATGCTCTGTTTAGGAAAGGCTGAATGCTACATAAAGGTATTTCTTCAACAGCAGCTCAAATGCAGATTTACACTCAAGATTACAGCAGTTGGCTTCTTGCTCCTGTGAAGTAAGAAGCTCTTCTCCATAGTTTTATTTCCCCTCTAGGGCAGAGATTAGCAGAGAACTGCTTAAAACAAAAGCGTTTCCTACTGTTAGAACATCACACTGCAGTCAAAAATGAAGCTTCCTGCCAATTCCTAAACAGAACCCTTGTATATTGTACGTTTATTTTTACTGCTGATATGAAGGAACCTATGACTACCCAAACCCTTCAGTGGGAGGAGAAGAGGAGAGGCATGGACATTGCAGGTCTTGTCAGGCAGAGCCAGGCGCTAAAAATTCCTGCGTATCTACAGAGCACAGCTGATCTCAGGAACACAGCAGTGGCACAAAACAAATAAAGCCTCAGAAACTAATGAGCAGCAATAGATGTTAGGCTCTTCCGCAGCCCTGCAACAACTGAGCAAGCTCAGTTCCAACTGTACCTGAATTGCAAATAGGAAAAGCAGTTCTGATGTCCCATGCTAATCTAATGACTCCTTATTGCACTAAAATACCCACATATTCAGTGGAGTAGCTCAGCCCACACAGGAGGAAGGATACCCTCCGCCCATCCACCAGTTAAGGCTCCTTTGGTATGCAAAATTCCTCAGTTTCCCTGGTACCTTTGAACCTTGATGTACAGAATTCTCCCTTTACAATGCAAGAATTTAGAACATGACTAAAGTATTGTTGCTACCTCCCAGCTAATCCTAGAGAGTGTTAGGCAGAATCAGCAACTCTATGAATTACATGGAGTGACAAGATGCTTCTGGTCCTAAAAGCCTGGGCCCTGTCCGGTATGGTAGGCACAGTTGGCAGCGAGGGCACAGGATGGCAGCTTCATGCTGAGCATTCCTCTAGGGCAAGAGCATACGGCATAGCAGAGAAAAAGGAACATTCTGACCCTCCAGGTCATGGACATGGGTAGTACCAGCCTTGGACCAAAATGTCATCTCTCACCACATGCCAGATACCAGTAAGGACAGGAACAAACCCTGCTGTCTCGTTTTTTTCTACAATGCCAAGTCTCACTTCTTTATCTCATTTTGTACCTATGGATGCAGCAGAAACAGTTCTTAATATAAATAAACAATGCCTTAAATACAGCACCTTTTGCACTTTATCCACTTTTTTTCTCCCCAAGAACGTGATCCTGTACTCAGCCCTCTACTTCCCAGAGAAATCTTTGTGTCTAAGCTTCACTTCAGTAAAGTCTTTCAAGCAAACTCCTGTTTAAGAGTTGGTCCTGGCAGTATCAAGACTCTGCTGCCTGCCAAACATCCCTCCAAATCGGATGCATAACTGACCACTCAACTTTCATAGATTTGGTTCTTTGCAACCACCAAAAAGCATTTCTGCATCTCTGAGCCTGGCAAATGAGAAGATGCCAGAAAGCCACTATTGCTTGATGAAGCACAAGGCCTAACAGACTCAAAGGTTTGCAAACTGTGCTGGGCATTGCATCCAAATCTATCTGACCTGAAGATAACCTAAGGGGAAAACAGGGTATACTCGTTTTCAAAGTTCGTTGTTTCCTTGGCTGCCTCTCCTCAGCAATGACTCCTCATTTTGACTGTTTTATTCCTCTGTCATCTTCACTTGAGAATTCAGACTTTCTTTAAACTCAGCTCACAGGCTGCAAGGAGGTCATGCTACACTTCTGAAATCCACCTCTTCCCAGCAAGGCTCCCATCCTGCCATCTGTATCCTGCAGCACTGCACAAGAGTGGTCTGGGGCTGCAGATACTTTGTGCATTCGGCCAGCCCCTCTGTCAGGTTCTCAGCTTTGGGGATTGCAGCCCACCAGGGCCACGGGGTGTTGAAAACTTTGCCGTAATCCAAAGCACAGGATCTTCCTCCTTCCCTTCCCTAGACACTATCATTGTCAAGGATTTTCTGGCAGTCCTCAAAACACACAAACTGTAGGTTCTTGTCATGAATCAAGACTTAAAGCATCTCTCCATTTAAAAAAAAGCGGAAGCAGACAAGCAAGGCAGAGGGGAAGGTACTTCTGTCCAAGATTTGGTTTTGAAAAGGAGATTGGCAGCCTATGCATGTGCTTTACCCTGTAATCTGAAAGCTCCTCAGGACCGGACCCCTCGAAGCATTTTCGACTGAACCATATACACACCCCAGAGCAAAAGAACCAGCGGCTCCCGCATCCGTTCCAGTCTGCTCAGCCTCTCCTAAATCAACACTGCCAGAAGGCAAGACAGCCCTATAACAAATTAGCACCACTCACAGTTTGTTGAAGTTGCTGTTCCATTGTTTGTTTATTTAAAACACACACGCCTCCCAAGCTTGCCCTCTGCTGCCATCACCCAAAACCCAGATTTGTAGTCTCAAGAGAGAGGCAAGCAACGGCAGTGGATTAAATCCATGCAGAGCAACAACTCTGGGACTCTGCTTGGGTTTTGCTCTTTCCCTACAAGCAGAACAAAAGAATGCCCAGACTTTTCCAGCCTGGAAGATCAAGGTGTTGAAATCCTGATTTGGGTACTTGACTAGGAAAGCGTCGTTAAAAAGAAAGAGCCACAGGCTTGAAAGGACCCAGCACTAATAAAACTCTCAGTGCTAATGCTATTTATGAACATCCAAGGGATAATCTGAGCCCCTTATCAGCCCACAAGATTATAAAACCTTTAAAATAGGAAACATGTCTTACTTCATAAAGCACTGCATAAATTTACAAAGCACAATATTAGCAGTAATAAATAACTGTCAAAAGGGTGGCTGTAAAACCTGAAAAGGTGCTGCCATTCCCATTTCATTCTGAGCCCCGTCTGGTAACACTGTAGGTTGACAGGTTGTTCCCACTTGGTTTACTCTTACACACCAATCTGGTTTTACTTCAAAAGATTCTTTGGGAAATGTGCTACACTTTTATTTACACTGGAGAAACTAATTTTTTTATCATGAGGTGATCACGACAGGGGTGATTTTAAAGAGCTGTAGTAGATTCTTATCCCTCCACCAAGTACAGTCTAATTTGCCAGCATGTGTCAGTGTGCCAGCAGTGATTCCTTTACACAGCATTTCTATCTGTAGGCACTTAATGTACACAGAGCACCCTGCTGAGTAGTTGCTCACCGGTTGCATCATGTAGCCTGTAGATACAGCTTCTCTTTCATTTCTCTTGGTTTATGTGACATTAAGCTCTTAGCTGCTGCAGGCATAGTTTATAGGACAGTAAAGTCAACATCATCATCTCAAACCCTTACATGCTCTCACTTCTTTTTTTTTT